GAAATTTAGAAATTTCCAAATTTTTAAAAATAACCCTTTAAAGCCTGTATTGAAAATACTGAAAAATCACAAATTTAAAACAAATACCATATTGTTAATGTTAAACAATCTTATTTTTAAAACCCTAATACCGTCATACAAAACCCCCAGCTTACCCAGAGATCTTGTTTAAAATGATTTATTTTCTCAGCCTTGGTAAAAAGACTAAACACCATTTCAGGAAAAAAAAATCTTTTGTTGAGTTGTCCCCCTTCTCTCTACGTATGTTTCTCACCATAACCCATCCCGGGGGCATTTTTCTGACACAACCATCGATTTTTGGCGTCTGCTAAAGATGAAGTCGGGCGCGCATTCATTAAAATTCAAAGCATATTGTAAATTGGATCGCCTCCCTTTAAGAAGTTTCACTTCTGCTTCAACGGTCTCTGTAATCAAACCATTAAAAAGGGGGATAATCGACTGGAAACAAACTTGAAACAAATGGTTTCTGCTTTCAATCAACTTTCAAATTTATTCAGATTGAAATCTGGCCATGCAGTCGTGAGCACTTCCCCCACATCGCGCTCCTCGCGTGCCTGGGCGGCCCCAGGGTTCGCTTTATTGTGTTATATAATGATCCGAAAGACCCTCCTTCGCCCGGCCTTCCATTTCCCGCGATTTTATCGTTATATTAGAAGTCCTATGGCTTCGGAGTGGACGGCTTTGTGAATGGGATTTCTTCAAATCCTATCAAGCTAAATGAAGAATAGCTATTGCGCATGACGAATTCAGTTTCGAAAAGATTATTATTTGTTTTTATAGGGATGAAATAAGAAATGAAGAAAAAAAGGGGTCGCGGCCATTTTGTTACGCGTGGTTTCGCGAGGCGTGTAGTTGGCAGAATGGCCTTCGTCCAGCCGGTGAACTAAGAACAATTAGAGGGCAGCGCCCGTGTGATCCACATCCGGGGTGGGTGTTTTTAAAGTCTGGAGTTCTCGTGGGCACAGCAGACGTTTTCAATTTCCTGCATACGTCACGCTTGATCGGCACCAGTGCCTTCGTTTGATAAAATTTATGTTTTCTTCATTGCATCTACAACAAAAGTTCGTTCGACAAAATTTTTTTACAGAAATTTTCTATTTTTATTTTCACAAATAAATAAATAAACCTTCAGCTAAAACCGAAATTTAAAAAAAAATTACATTTGACCCCCCCCCCCCCCCCCCCCCCACCCCGTGCCATAGCCTCACTTCTTCACCCCAAGCTAGAAGATGGCAAATTCAACGGTCACTATGAGAAAACATTGATTAAATAATGACGTCACGTTACCTCAAGGCAGAAAGCCGATACGTTAAAAAGTCGAAAGATTAAAGGAAAGTTTAAAAAATATAACCTAGAAAGACAGCGGAAGTGAGAAGTTAGCAGTAAAAAAATCTATCGTTTCGTGTGGGAATGGCGTACGAGAAAAGGGCAGCCATGAGGTGTTGTTGATCTAGAAAATAATCCAGTCTGTTTTTTGTGTGTCAAGGAACCAGCCCTCATCGAAAGTGGCTGCTGGTCAGTTCTGGAAGTTTTAAGAAATAAACCAGATGGACATTCGCTTATAACCGAGGGACGTCGACAAATGAGGCCTATGCTGGAAATAATCTTATAATCACAAGCACGGAAATAATCGTATAATCAGAAGCACAGGGGAATGGCGCAGATCTCGCTTGACGGAGCTCTGCTCCCGCGCCGCTAATAAAACCAATTTGTTTGGTGTCTGCGCACGGACCTTCCATTGTTAAAGCTAACAACGAATGAGCTAAGGGTGAGAAACTCGTGATTATTCGAGGAATAACTACTGGAGTTATTACCCCTTGTTTTGCCCCACTACCCTTCGCCCCCTTTATTTTCATCCCATATTTTCTTTTATGATTGTCATAATCATTTTTTTCCCTTCATCGGCGCCTTTTTCATCATGTGACCGGATGTTGTCTCCTATTGACTATAAAGTTATTTCCCTTGCCACTGGATTTTACTCTTGCATATAGAGTAACTCGCTTCCTTTCCAATCAAGAAATAATATCATTTATTAAACAAGTAATGACACATGATCGAGTAGCCGCCCCTGAAATAATTTGGAGAAAAGCTCTGAAAATGTTATTGGTTTTTTTTTTTTTTTTTTGGAGATGAGGGATGGGGCTAAAAATGTTCGGAATGGAATTGAGTGGAATAGAAATAGAATATTGCCGAGAGTTCCCCCCCTCCCCTCCCCCCACTGTCCTGTATAACGTGCAATGCGAACCGCAACGCTTGGCATTCTTAGTTTGACGTCCAGCTTAGGGGGGCACTCATGAAAATAATTCAATAACCCCTGGGCCGCTGGTCAAACGATGTTATCTACGACGCCCCGACGTTTTTTTTCTCCCCCCCCCCCGCCCTCTCTTCTTCTCTTTGCTGTTTGACCGGGGGAACCCAATCCGATTTCAATCATTACCATAATGAAATTGACTCAAGGGCGAGGGGGACATGATTGGCAGTGGGGCTTAGGGGCGCCCCAAAAGTGTTATAAGGTTTTACTGGAGTGTACCCAGATGTAACTCTTTTTTTTTTTACCTCGGCTCTCGCCTCTCGCTCGTCATTCCTCGGGAGATGGCTATTTATCATTAGGATCATGTGATAGGCTGTGTGCCAGCCACCACGCGCTGCAAATCAACGGGAACAATCGGGGCGGACGCACGCGCATGCGCACTGCTTACATGATTATTGCCACGTCATATCCCATTGTCTCTGTCACAGATGTCAGGTTTTTGAAATGCCAGCGATACCTGGGAGCTCACAGCGAATGAATAATGCAAACATGTGGGGTGTTTTTTTTTTTTTTTTTTTTTTTTTTTTTTTTTTTTTTTGGCGATGGCCAATCAAATCAAATTGTTGTAAGTTGCAAAAGAACCTTTCCCCACCCGAAAAAAAAAGATAACAACCCCGAAAAAAAAAAAAAAAAAAAAAAAAAATCACACCCTCTGCCCCCAAATAACAACAAAGACAAAACACTCTGAAACGACGAAATAATTCACAAAACAGATTTTTTTTTTTACATTTGTGACACAAGATCTATATAGATTTAAATATATTTATTTTAAAAAAAATGTATGCAATGTTCCTTTCACATACCATATACCTTATCATTAATATAATCTCGCTTCTAAACCTGTCGTAATGCGATAAAAATAGACGCATTTTAATAACGAGAGTTATCCTATCTTATTATCGCCCCTGCCCTCCCCCGCCCTTGCTAAATCCTCTATTTATTTATTTTTTAACTACTAGATGATCAAGCGGCATATTTTTTTTTATTGCTTGATAATAGAAGCTACGAGATTAAATATTCGCTTGATGTATCGCAAGGGAAATCTTAAGATGAGAAATCATGGAAAATGAAATGGAAATATTAGAATATTGCCAGGGCTCCAACTTTCAATATCTTTAGTGCCCTTGTTTTTTTTATTTTTTAGCGGCATCTGCATGGAGTTCTCTTCCCTGATTCGCTTAATGCATTTTGTAGGGTAAATTATAAAAAAGGGATTTAGAGCCGATTGGTAGAATTTCTGCGGGATTGGACCAACGAATATTTCTATTAAATAAGACAAAAAAAATAGAACAAGATGCGCTCGTGTAATGTTATTTCTTATCAGCGTTTTGTATTTAAATATCAATTTATTTGCAAATGTGAGTTTAAGGATTTTATTACCGGCTTAATTCTGGGGCGTGTTTGCGTGAAGGAGATTGACAGACGCGATGTGGGGTCTGATTGCGAGGCCATGAATTGTGTATTTGGGTTTTGTTGTCTCCCATAGATTGTCCGTAATCATTTTTTTTTCAATGTCGATATTTCATTTAGTTTGACCAGGGCGTCCTGCATGCGTAGCACCGACCCACCCACTGGCCAGTGGCTGCAACATTTATCTGGACACCCCGGCCATCATAAATATGGCGCATTGTTTTTGAAAAAATCTGGTAAACTACAATACGAAACTTAATAGCGATAGTAATACGTTTTTATATAGGCATACAGCTAGGCTATATAAATACTTTCCTGCTTAAAAAAAAGCCATATTAGAATTAAAACCTAGTATCACACATCACAACACATATTTCCTACAATAGCAGTGGCGTAGCTACCGTAAAGCTAGCGTAATAGGGGCCCTTTTTTCGAAAGTTTTAGGGGGGGGGGGGGGGTGTGTGCAAATCGAAAGTCTGAGGGGGGGGGGTGCAAATCGAAAGTTTGTCCTCGGTCGCCGGGAAGGGTCGCTACGCCTCTAACACTTTTTGCATAGGTGCCCAAAAATCGTAGCTACGCCACTGTACAATAGCCTATAATCTTTAACACACGTGGACAATTACTATATTATGTATAGCCTGTAAGAATCAACCTGATACCCACGTAGACAGTAGTCCGAAACAGCTTTAATAAACTAGGTTATGTGTCCCTTAACTCCTGATTCTGAAAGCAAGCGTTCATTTGCCAGATTTTTTAAGGCCATGTCATTGTCATTGCACGACATATACAGCCATTTTGGCAATGGCGACAAATTTTAATGAATATAGTCGCTTCTACTTAGATCTATTAGTAGAGAGCTATTTATAATTTATTTTCCATTTAAATCAAATTAAGGCCCACATACTTGAATTCTACTATACAAGTGTTCATACCTATATATTCATCCCTGAAAGTTTAATGCAAAGATACATACTTCAATTCAGGTTTTTTTTTAAAACCCCTTCAATTGAATTAGTTTAATCTTGATATAACTAAGAGAATTAAAAAAAAAATTATTGCAGGTCTATATTGTCAATAAACCTAATTATTCTAATTATTCTGTATCCTTTATGAAATAAAAGACTGCTGTAAAAATGTTTTTAGGAGATTGAGGGATGGTTTGTCAAAATGATCTATGCATTATTATATCCATTAGTTCATGGTGAATTCACAGACACCAGCATATAAGAAAACAAATAATCTTTTGTTTCAATTTAAAATTTTGAGTTTTTAATTTCAAAACCACTGTACAATGTTTATCATACTGAATGGCATAGAATGGAAAATGAATGAAAAACAGACAGAACAATTATAAGAAAAATCAACCTAGCTCACTCAGACCATGAATTAGAAGTCATACAAAAATTGGCATACACAAAAACTATTGGCAACCATGAGTATAAATTCACATTGTTTTAGAACAGAAAAAAAACTAATTAGCACAAGCTATACAGAAATTACTAATGTTTATTTGACAAGTAAAATTTACTAAAATTAAAGCAATTTTTTTTTCACTAAGGAATGCTTAGTTTGAAAATGGTTCAACAAACAAAATGAAACGACAAAATGAAATAATTTTAAAAAATCTGCGTCTCTCTTTAGTGTTTACAAAAATTATAACATTTACTGTTAAAGTATAGAAATGTGGCCTGTCTAAGTGTTAATAGGAAATTTATTATCTTACAATAACTTTCATCTTGAAAGATTAAGTGTTAAAATTATACTTGAAGATTATCTTACAGGGGGGAGGTCTGTACCCTACTGAATCACATCTACTGCTCCCATATAGAAATATATAGTTCAACCAGTGTCTGCCTCAGTGGTTCTAAACTTGTTTGGAGGTACTGAACCCCACCAGTTTCATAATTAATAACCCTTGTTAATGTTTCTATCATCCACATTGACTAAATCAGATTGTGAATTATCTGAGTGGGTGTGTCTTGGCATCCACCAAACCCCTGAGACTGACTCTCCAAGCCCCTGGGGCTCAATAGAACCCTGGCTAAGAATCCCCGGTTTAGACATGGTCCTCAATGGAGAATATGATGTATGTTCCTTCAATACTAAACAACTGAGAATTATCTATCCAAGATGTGGGTTAGAATATTGAAAGATGTTTGCTAAAGGAATACTAGATTCTAAAAACTTACAAAAGGAAAAATTACAAAATTAAATTGTAACAAAAAATTATTCATTAAAGCTGCATATTGAAATTCAAATGTTTATAAAAGATTATAAGTTTTTTTTCACTTTTACTTTTCTGTAAAGCAACTAAAATTCAGGGAACTATATTCAAATTTAAATGAATGAATTTTCTTTCCCTAACTAAAATTGTTTAAAAAACGTAACTCAGTGTTTATGTAAAATAACAAAACAAATATTCTTGGAATTTCTTGATCCGTGACTAGCAGGTTAAAAACTAAAATATGTTAAAATAATTAATTTAAAGAAAAAAATATTTCAAAACCAATAACCAAAAAATCAACCACAAACTTACACTTATTATATTTATTATTTACATTGGAAATAAATCTATTTATACAGTCTGTTCAAAATTTGTACTAGCAATAATGAACATTTTAACCACATTCATTTATTATCATATTGTGAACAGTAAAATATTTAAAGTGAATAAAATAATTTATGAAAAACAAAAAAAAAACAATTTTATTATCATTTTAATAAAATATAAACTTAGGCCTACAACTCTTAAGATATATTATACAAAATATAAAAAAAACAAAAACAAGAACAATAAGAGACAGTAGAAGAAAAAAATTTAAAGCATGAAATATATACATCTCAAATCACACTAGAAATTACATTTTTAAAATTTATTTGTGAAGGCTGCATATACCATCAGATAATAGGACTCTAAATTTTACATGCGTTTTTTTCAATCTTTTTTTCACATCATTCAGACCGAGTTCAATGACTTAGATATTTTAGATTCCCTACACATCAACATGACTAGTTTTCTGACCACACAATAGGATGTTTGGCCCATCTCACATTGACTGTCAATGATGCATTAGTTAATATCACAAATCACAAGCAAAAAACATTTGAAAATTATTATAAGCTTCAAGAACCGGGTAGCAATTGGGGGAAAAATAATAATACACTTCTATGAGCAATGGCTATATGACTAGCAGTTTATAGCATATAAACTTACAGTGCATTATTCCAAAACATACAATTTCTCTATCACACTTTATATTTTAAAAGAATTTGGTGCAGACTAAAGAAATTTATTGTAAAGCTAATTTATCCAGAAGATTCATAAAACTATGGCTATGGCCTGCTTCAGTATTAACTGTACATAGAAATCTATTAGGTTTACATCTTTTTAAAGAGGAAATAATTCCTTTGTGACTTATGAATTAAAACCACTAAATTATTGAGTGGGTGTATTCTTTTAGTAAACCGTATTGAGTTTAGTTTTTAAAACATCTACTTTATTACTAAAGTTAAAATGTATGAATACATACCTATTAATAGGTTTAGAGAGATTATTCAACTGAATGTGTAGCAATTTTTCACATCATTAAATCTAGACAATGTCAACACATGAAAATAGGTGAGCTTTCTTCAAATACAAAGGGAGTGTAACACAACAACAACAATGCACTAGTTCTCTTTAGGTATTGAACACATCTGCAGTAAACTTCAAGCCCTTTGAATTTTTTTTTTTTTTTGAGGTTAGTGGCTTTCAAGACAACATAGCATATTTTAATTAGTGAGTTTTTTTTTAAAGAACTTTTTAGATAAAGTAATGTAGAGACATTTGATAGGGTTTCACTCAGGTTTCTGAAGAGCAGGCGTACATGTGATTAGGAGATGTAACACTGCATGGTATGTTGTCCTAAGGAGCATTATAAAGTAAAGTCTGTAAGCCTTGAAAGTAGATCACACAAAGAGAAATTTGCAAACAACAAAACTAGCAGGATGAATAAAACTGTTTCTATGTTTACTAGTGTTTATCATATATGGCAAATAAAACCAGTATTTTTTTTATAAATGAACTGATTAAGAGCTAAACATGAGCCTTTAATCCGATAACTATTTCTATTTAATTCAATTACTAATTTGTGGCAAATACAAGCAGTATTTCTACATAAATAATCTTAATTAAATCTGAACATGAACAGTTGGCTTGCAACTTATGAATGTCTAAAAGAATACTGAAATCAAATTGATTAAGGCAGAGTTTTTTCACTCCCACATTCCAAGCCAATGTTGATACAAACATCAGGAAAGTTTCAAGGAAAATAAAAGTTCTCTCTGACATTGTTGTGATGTTTCACATCATGTTTACTAATGTAAACATCTTGTGACAGGAAATTAGTGCAACAGCTGACATTAATCCTGACTTACGTATCACATAGACCTCGTATCATGTGGACACTACAATTTGTATTACATTTGTACTACAGAGAGCTCTACATTTTGTATTACAATTGTATCACTGCGGATGATATTGTAAGACGAATCACTGCGGATGATATCGTAAGACGAATCACAAACGCAAAATCTGTTACGCATGAAACTGACACACCCATTTCACACACTGTTTATTTTGTGAGCACAATACTTTACAGCATAAACACACAATGTATTTTAAAAACAAAAAATTTAATACATACAGTTTTCCAAAACCATCTTAACAATAACATTAATTTCAAATGCAAATTAAAAAATTAAAGTGAAGTTAAGAACATTTGAAATCACTTATATTGAATTCAAATTTTAAAAGCAATACATGTATTTTTTTTTAATGTCATTATTGACTTTATTGAGTCTCTCAAACAAACCCTCATTAATGTTGCCTTTAACCAGAATATATATATAGAAAAAAAATGTAAGGACAAAATAAATAGCAAAACTTGATAGAATACAAAGGGTTTTAAAACACTTTTATAGTGCTGAGTTAAGTGCTTGACTAGTCAGTCAAAAAATTATTTTTTCATAGTTCCTTACACTTTTTGCCCTAATGCTTTATGTACCCCCAATGTTTTTTTCCCCCTTACTTAACAATGGACGAATGAACGGATTGTCATAACGAGCTCGGGGACGGACTCCCATATCCGCTGGACACGTCATCACTTAAGCTCTGTGTTTGTCGTTTAATCTGGGTCAGGGCGTTGTAGCCGCTGTACCCGTAATGTCCCATGCCCCCACCCCCCACGTTCCCACCTCCGCCTCCAGGTGCACCGTTTGGTCCGTTGCAGCCGTTTGAAAGTCCGTTTGGTATGCCGGAGTGGCTCATGTTGCTGCCTAGGTTTGCAAACATCATGCGTTCTTCATAGTCAAATTCACACAAGATTTTGTTGTCGGCCAAGTAGAACCTGTCTCCAACACAAAACCTTCAAGGGGAGGAACAAGAAAAGAACTTTTAGTTTGCTTTAGGGAATCTGCATACACTATTTAAATGTTTAGTTTCTTTTAGGGAATCGGCAGTACAGCATTTAAATTTTAGTTTTGTTTTTTAATTAATTCTGCAATATGGCATTTAAATATTTATATTTTTAATTGTTTCTGCAATATGGCATTTAAATGATTAGATTTTTAAATTGATTCTACAATACCACATTTAAATTTTTAGTTTTTTTTTTACTGATACTGCAATACAGTATTTAAAAAAAGCCTCCTAGTATTGGTATTAGGACATATATATTTCTTAAGTAATGAGAATCGATATAAAATTTCAAAGAGGTTGATAGTTTTTTTGTTGTTATTTTAACAAAATGTATCTTTTTTCAAAAATTTGAATGAAACAACCCATAATATTTATCTTGAAATTTTTATAAGAGTATATTAATCTTTGCAGAAATATCTTTTCCTTTTTGTGTGTCTAACAAACCTAGGTAATCAGTTGTTGATATTTGTAGAGAGATGAAATAAGATCTTGGAATTTTTTCCCAAAAGTTAAATATTTCTTTGTCTAGCAGACTTTTCATTTAGTATTAGCAGACAAGTGTGATTAAAAAACCAATTAATAGGTTTATTTTTAATTCAATAGAGAAATAAAAAAATTAATTAAGCTAAGCATCAATAAGTTTCAAAATTTGAAATTTACAGAAAAAAAAATATTTACAGTAAAATAATGCAGAGAAGGTATAGCTAAATAGATTTGAGTGTCTAATTAAACTATTAATGTTGCTAATTATCTGCTCGCATAAGTAGCTCACCTGTGCATACACTGTTGGCAGGCAAAACACTCTAAGTGGTAGACGTTGTTTTTGGCCCTCATCACCATCTCAAATGCTGGGATCATTTTCTTACAGGCTGCACAGTAGCCTGTGGTGCCAAATAACCTGCGGACAAATATCTGTGTCATTATACTGACCAATAGTGGCGTAGGTATAAATATCTGTCTAATTATACTGGCAATAGTGGCATAGGTATAAATATCTGTCATTATACTGGCCAATAGTGGTGTAGGTATAAATATCTGTCTAATTATACTGGCAATAGTGGCATAGGTATAAATATCTGTGTCGTTATACTGGCCAATAGTGGCGTAGGTATAAATATCTGTGTCATTAAACTGGCCAATAGTGGCATAGGTAGAAATATCTGTCTAATTATACTGGCCAATAGTGGCATAGGTATAAATATCTGTGTCATTTAACTGGGCAATAGTGGCACTGGTACAAATATCTGTGTAATTATACTGGCAAATAGTGGCATAGGTATAAATATCTGTGTAATTATACAGACTAGTAATGTGGGTACACATATCTGAGTGACTATAGAGGCCAAAAGTGGAACGTGGGCAAATATCTGTGTGATTATACAGGCTAAAAGTTTCCTAGCAATGGAGAAGGAGATTGCTGGTCCATCCTAGGCTAAAGAGTGGCATCAATGAGCAGCTTGGGTGGGTGGGGCACATATGTAACAGTTTGTTGATACTGTGATAACTTCAGCACATAATAAATACAACTTGTTGATACAGGTGAAAACCAAGTCCACAGCATGCAAAAACAAACTGCAAGTTAATCAGCACCCTAGTGTTTTAACAGTGGTATATCCATTGGGGTATCTGGGAATTTTAATCATTTCATCTAATAAACATATTCTATCAGTACTCACATCGTTCAATACTAGCAATACACTAGTGAGTGCTGCAAATTCTACAAAAATAGCCCCTACTTTATGGTGGAGTAGTGCTACCAATTGACCAGTCTTTTGGCTAGCTAAAGCATTGTCTTTGGTAAGTTAGTGTTAAATACTGAGCAGTCCGTGGGTGGATGCTGATGAACATTGACAAATCTTTGGCAAGTAACCAAGTATGGACCAATCCTGCTCTGGCTAAAAGGTAACTTTTTGAACATGAGTGAAGTAGAGTTCACCTGTTTCAGTCACCTCGGCATATGAAGGGTTAGTGTGGTCAGCACTATGCCCAGCTGCCTTTACTTTCCTTAATGTCAACCAGGTACCTATCATAGCTGAGTGTACTCTGGGACATTCTGCGAACATGAACCCTGGTTATGAACTCAAGACTTTCAATTTAGCAGTCGTATGCTCTACCGTCCAACCATACCTTCCCATTTGTTCTGGCTAGTGGTCTACTAAACAGTGAGCAGTCCTTGGTTGGCTAGTACTCACCTCAGATAATCCCTCCGACATAAAAGGAGATTTGCCTTGTTGAAGAGTGTGGAGCCCACCTCCCCCAGCCTGCAGTCACAGCATGAGCACTTGAGGCAATCTTCATGCCAGTACTGGTCCATGGCCTGGGGAACAGTACATAGAACAGTTACATCATAGTCCACAGAGAGATTATCACAACCTTAATTCTTTAGTCCATAGAGCTATTGTTACAACCTTAATTCTATTGTCTACAGAGCTATTTTCACAACCTTAATTCTATTATAGTCTATAGTCCACAGAGTTATTGTCACAACTTTAATTCTATAGTCCACAGAGTAGATATGAAGCTGTATTTATGCCATGGTCAAGGTGAGTATTGGTGATGAAGAAGTAGATAAAGGTGAGTATAGGTACAGACAGGTAAACGTTTGTGAGGATGCAGGTAGAAGTTGATTTGACACAACTATAGACAGAGCCAAACGCGAATAACACAGGTACAGATGTCATCGAGAGGTAAAGATCTCACCTTTAGAAAAAACCTGTCAGTGATTGGTTTCTTGCATGACATACACTCCTGGTGTTTGGCATGTTTGACCACACCTGGGCTCATCTCTGCCCCGGACATTGGAACAGGACCTGGGGAGTAAAGGTAAAGGTAAGTGCTACATAGTTACTTATGTAGTGGGGAGTATGTTACATTGGAACAGGACCTAGAGAGTAAAGGTAAAGGTCTGGTTAGTAAAGGTAAACAAAGGTCATTGCTACATAGTTACTTGTGTAGTGGGGTGTATGTTACATTGGAACAGGACCTGCTGAGTAAAGGTAAACAAAGGTCAGTGCTACATAGTTGTAGAGTGGGGTTTATGTTACATTGGAACAGGACCTGGTGAGTAAAGGTAAACAGGTGAGTGCGACATAGTTACTTGTATAGTGGGGTGTATGTTACATTGGAGCAGGACCTGGTGAGTAAAGGTAAACAAAGGTAAGTGCTGCATAGTTACTTGTATAGTGAGGTGTATGTTACATTGGAACAGGACCTGGTGAGTAAAGGTAAAGGTAAGTGCTACATAGTTACTTATGTAGTGGGGAGTATGTTACATTGGAACAGGAACAAGAGAGTAAAGGTAAACAAAGGTCATTGCTACATAGTTACTTGTATAGTGGGGTGTATGTTACAATGGAACAGGACCTAGAGAGTAAAGGTAAAGGTAAATGCTTCACAGTTACCTGTATAGTTGTGTGTAAGTTACATTTTCTTTGGGATCGGACTTTTGTCTCGATACATGACGCGGGGATGGTGTGTGGGGGGAGGGGGAAATTGGGCTAAGAAAGTTAAGCGTCACACGTTTTACATTTAAAAAAAAAATCCCTTTAGATTTTTAATGCAGAAAATCTGTCCAAAAAATTGTTCCCGTCCCGTGGCGGCTGTTGTCAGGACAATACTATAGAAAACACGGCCAAAAAAAAAATTACCCGCTAGCTGGGGCGCACAAGGGCGAGCGCCGCTTTAGTTTACGGTGAGGACCGAAGGGCCTGGAGATTAGTGGCGGGATAAGCCACGCTCTTGTTTATTGTCTGAGGCACGTGAGCCCGTCGTCTGCTCCAAGTCACAGCTTGGGGTTTACGCGGATTCAATAACAACGGTAGGACCAACAATAAACACGGCGCATAGTACCTCAGTGTTCTCAAACTGCGCTTTAGGGTTCTCAAACTGCGTGCTCGGTTCTCAAAAAGTGCTGTTCTAAAAAAGTGCGGCTCACAAAAAGTGCGGTTCCCAAAAAATGCGGTTCCCAAAGTGTGCGGTTCTCAAAGTGTGCAGTTCCCAAAGTGTGCGGTTCTCAAAGTGTGTGGTTCTCAAAGTGTGGGGTTCCCAAAGTGTGAGGTTCCCAAAATGACAGTTCCCAAACTGCGAGGTTCCCCCAAGCGACCAAGTCTAGGTGTCGAGAGATGATCTGCAATGATTTCTCGCTGGCCCAACTGCCCATTACAATTTCATTAAGTAGTCACCGGTGGTCAGCGGGAGTACATCCCGTGGCGAGCCACAATCGATTATAAAAATAGACGCGGACACTAGACTTTTTTTTTGGCAATGTAGAGTACGGGGGGGGGGGGGGGGGAAGAGGTTTTCTTCGATACGATATGAGAGATATGTCAAAACACTCCCATGCTGCCAATAAGTATCTACGTGTAGAATACTGGGTGTTAAGTGTACATTAAGTATACTGGGTGTTAAGTGTACATTAAGTATACTGGTGATGTTCTGTGTACATTTAGTATACTGGGGATGTTTAGTGTACACTAAATATAATGGTGATGTTTAGTGTACATTAAATATAATGGGGATGTTTAGTGTACATTAAATATAATGGGGATGTTTAGTGTACATTTTAGTATACTGGGGTGTTTAGTGTACATTAGACTGGAAATGTTTAATGTTTATTACTGTGAATATTTTCATACGCAGGGCTTTCAGTTCTAGATTAAAGTACTTCAAAACGATTATTTATTATAATCATTTTTAGTTGAAAGTATGGTCAGGGCGAGTTGCATACAGGGTTGTGTCAGGTAGGTGATGTAGTGGGCTACGAACAGGGGAGGGTAAAGTCAGGTCTCTGTACAATGTGCAGGTAGTAGAACTTATACCAGTCCCAATGCTAATGTCACTCAACAGATGCATTGGGGAGTCACAGGTGCTGAGGGGGGGGGGGGGGGGGGGAAGCGAGTCACAGGTGCTGGGGAAGAGAGTCACAGGTTTGGGGTGGGGGGTTGGGCGAGAGTCACAGATTCTGTATGTGGTAGTCACAATAGTTGTAGGTGCGCGTCACATTCGCTGTATTCGAGTGTCACATCAACTGCTTACGAGTCAACTTACAAAGGTCAGTATTACATAGTTACTTGTATAGTGGGGTTTATGCAATGAAATAGTTACTGAGTCAGTCACAGCCCGATTTTAATTATAACTGGTAATTTAAAAAACATGAAACATCCTCATTTCTTTTTCATTTGCAAATGTCACGAATCCACAAACAAGACTACAAACTTTCTCACATGAACTTACAACAAATACAATTTTGTTAAACTTTGGCATATGTTAAGTCAAGAGATCCAGAAATCACCTGCAATTAATGACTTAATTTCATTGATTTCAGTCCTTGCATTTGCACACTTCCGGTAACTTTACTTTCTTTTTCAATGTGAAGGAGGGGAGGGGGGTAGATTTAAGTATTATTGTGTAAAACAAACATTTTCCAAAGAAACGAAACAAAGCTTAAATCATCGCAGGGGTGTAGCGTAGTTGACCGAAGGCAGAGAGTAAATAAAATGTATGTTTCCCCAGACATCGGAATGTGATACTCGGCAAAAAGATGCTATTTAAACACACTTTCATGTAACTCTAAACGATTAGAAGATTGTTATCTCCCCTTAATCGTGAAAGCTGAAAGACCGGAGAGTAGAAGAAACGAAACAAAATACATTTTTTTAAACTCCTCAAGCAGAGAAGAGAGGAATGGATACAGTTTAAACAAGGAAAAACAGAGAAGCGTAAGAGATGAATTAAAAGCAGAGAGCTAATCTTTGAACTTGTTTCGTTAGAAAAACAAAAGTCGAATTAGATTTTCGTTTCGTTTAAGTACTTCAATAGGAAGTGACAAACATGATTAGGGTTTTTAAAAGGCACGCTGCAATTTTAATTAGTTGAGTATATGCTCAGGATCATGAGTAGACGGAACTAAAAAGCTGGATAGTTATTTTAAATTATTTATTGCTGTAAATAAAATACGTATGTTAATAATGGGTATAAATAGAATAGGGCCTATGTACGTAAAATAGCCAACTAAATAATGTTTAAAAAAAAAATAAAACTAACGAAGGTAGATCTATAATATGGATCTATTTAAAATAAAGTAAAATACGTAATAAATAAATTAAAAGTTGGTTTTAATGGTGTAATACGGGTTGATGCATATAAAATGTATTTAAACTGTTAAAAATAAACACGTCGCAGCCGACAAACCCACTGTTATCAAGAGCGGTAATGCAATTTTTTTTAATCAAGGGAGGTAAACACGCGTAGATTTCTATGTCTGTGAAATATCTTCCACCCATTGGAGTGAAAACAAGAGCAGATAAGATGTCTGTGTGTTTTTAAATACCGTTAAAGTCATTACGATGGGAGGCGCTGATGTCGCGTCACGCGCAAGACAATGTCTTTTTGTTTGGGGAAATATTCACAAACAAACAAAGCGCTCTCCAGTTGCGGGACCCGCCCGATTATCTCCCTGGATCTTGATCAAGATAATCGAATAGACATCTCGCGCCTAGAAAAAGTTGAAATTTAATTTCTAAACAAACAGGGATTTATTTACATCTAAACTGTGGCGTCGCTTCTTCTTCTTTAAGCTGTCAGCGCTTAGAGGGGGTTGTAAGTGAGATTCAGTTGCTTGCAGAGGCGTAGCGAAGGGAGGGCGGGTGGGTGGGTGGGTACATATGTCCCCGGGCGCCAACCCTAGGGGCGCCAAAATGGGTTGAAAAAAAATTAAAAGCTGCATATTAGCTGTTTTGAATTATAAACAAGGGGAGGGGGGGATTGAAAGTTTGTCCCCGGGCACCGGAAGGGGTCGCTACGCCTCTGGTTGCTTGCACAGCTTAGTATAATATGTTTATGTTAAACTCTTCGATGTTTTGGTAAGTTTAATACAAATGTACTTTTAAAATGTTTAAAAAACCTCTAAGAAAAGACTACAGTTGCGATACTTATAAGGTCGAGCATGTATATAAGTGAGATAGGCAGTTTTTTTTTCACGTAAAGATTGATAATAAAACATGATTTAAAATAGTCAAAATGAACTTAATAAATTAGTGTAAAAAAAAAGTAACGAAAGCAGCATTTTTTTTACTAGATCAACAGATTGTCGAAATAAGAAATAAATAATTGCCGATTAAAATAAACTCGGGGAATTAAGGCAAAATCAGATTTAAAATTAAGAGAAAGTATAAATTTAAAAATAACTTGACAAACTTAATATTGAAAAAAACTTTTGATGCTAAAAACAAAACCTCATACAAATTATATCCTTGTGACATTACAACAAATCAAAAAGTTGGTGTCACTATGTATACAAATATCCCAAATGTATTTAAAAAAAAACAGCCATGCCATATCCTTCCCTCCACACCCCCCCTTCCCTATCACCAGATGGTCAGTCTAAACAACGTCGGTGCCAAAGCTGACCTCTAGACCACGGGAGTCTATGTCCACCACAGACTTGTCTGGAACTTCTTCAACAGACAACTGAACAAATATGGAAGAAACCAGTCCTACTGCAGCCACTCGGATTTAAAAAAAAAAAAAACCCATCCCCACAGACACAAACACTCACACGCATAAACACACTCACGCACATGTGGGCGCGCGTGCGCAGACATGCGCAGAGAAAACAAACGGCCACCAAGCAGGCCCTCTAATCAAAGAAAGCATCCAAATCAACATTGCTCCCCCGGAGTCTGGGAAAGAAAAACAGACACGAGTGCATGCATGCATTTAGCCATGTTAAACAAACACAGCTCCCCCTTCCGTTTTCTTACTTTTTGTTTCGTTTTTTCTCCCTTCTACTTCCGGTTACAAATAGACCTAC